ATCCTACCCAATTGCAATTTCGTGTTGCAGAGCTGAAAACGGCTTTAGAAATCATATCAAAGTGTTCTGATGAGGGTTGCTTTCTGGGACATGATGTTTGCCTAAAAAACACTTTCAAGCACAATGTTTGTTATTGTAGCCATTTGTGACAAAAATATTCTGGACAACATCCATTTAGATTTGTTTTTCTGTAGAATAACTCTGTGAGGATAGCATGAAGCTTAATAAAAGTGGCTGTCTCTAGCAGGGAGACGTTGCAGTTTGCAGGAGAGGGAGGAAAACATTTCACCATATACAATTGTGTGTCCATTTTGAATTTCCTGCCAGTGCGTATTATCTACTTAAAATCTCAGTTTTGAAACCTGGTGCATAAAATAATGCACTGCTTTCTAGAATTAAATAATTGGGTGGCCCTACCCGGTTTGTCTCAGTGGCTAGAGGGTCCTCCTGCAGACTGAAGGGTCCCGGGTTCGATTCCGGTCCAGGGCACATGCCGAGGTTGCAGGCTCGATCCCCAGTAAGGGGCTCGTAGGAGGCAGTCTATTAATCAGGGGTTCTCAAACTTCGGCCCGCGGGCCACATGCAAATAAAAATATTCTATTTGTTCCTGTTTTGTTTTTTTATTTCAAAATAAGATATGTGCAGTGTGCATAGGAATTTGTTCATAGTTTTTTTTTAAACTATAGTCTGGCCCTCCAAAGGTCTGAGGGACAGTGAACTGGCCCCCTGTTTAAAAAGTTTGAGGACCCCTGCTATTCATGATTGTCTCTCAGCATTGATGTTTCTATCTCTCTCTCCCTCTCCCTTCCTCTCTAAAATCAATAAAAATATATATATTTTCCAAGGTTGGAAAACAAAGCTGGGCTGGTACCACGAGACAGGTCAAACCGGTAGTCAATGAGCACGGTGGATGTTTCTCAGATGTCACAGTAACAGGCTGTCCATTTAGCAGGGCCAGAGTGACATGTGATGGTTTCTGTGACAGTTATATCATTACTGTACGACGACCCACAGGTACTTGAGTATATACTTGCTGACATGTACATATTTCAGTATTTCATAACAAAGCAGGGTGAGCAGTGTGTGCTGTCTGCATCTCCACTCCACACTCCTGCCCTCTGTTGCGTCCCCAGGGAAACCTGCCTTTCAGTGTCTCCGCATAGTCAGACCTGGGGACCCTCCAGGGACGGCCCTCCCATCCTCACTCCTCCCTGCCTCAGTGTCTCCGCATAGTCAGACCTGGGGGACCCTCCAGGGACGGCCCTCCCATCCTCACTCCTCCCTGCCTCAGTGTCTCCGCATAGTCAGACCTGGGGGACCCTCCAGGGACGGCCCTCCCATCCTCACTCCTCCCTGCCTCAGTGTCTCCGCATAGTCAGACCTGAGGGACCCTCCAGGGACGGCCCTCCCATCCTCACTCCTCCCTGCCTCAGTGTCTCCGCATAGTCAGACCTGGGGGACCCTCCAGGGACGGCCCTCCCATCCTCACTCCTCCCTGCCTCAGTGTCTCTGCATAGTCAGACCTGGGGGACCCTCCAGGGACGGCCCTCCCATCCTCACTCCTCCCTGCCTCAGTGTCTCCACATAGTCAGACCTGGGGGACCCTCCAGGGATGGCCCTCCCATCCTCACTCCTCCCCTACCGCGACCTGCAGTCTGTTGGCTCCTTCCCTGAGTAAGGTTTCCTGACTCCCTCCTAGGAATACTCAGAAATTTACTCAGAATGCTGTGGAAATGTAGTGAACTGAGCACATGCCCCATGACACCCTACCGTACAAAGAGCTAAAGCAAATAAATGATAAGCAGAACATATCAACCGTTCTGGGAGCTCCAGGGCCAGCACCCCCAATTCTCATCTGTGAGGTCTGCGGTCAGTATGAAATGATCCCTCTGTTTTCCCATCTGGAAGGTGTGAATAACAATACCTACCTTGGCTCCCCAAGTGATAGAATACATTTGAATGGGTGGAGCAAGAAGAACACATCATATGCACTTAATGGATTGTAATACATTTGACCACTAAGGGCATTAGGAGGCAAGAGCAGCAGAAAATGGAATTCAGATAAGTCTGTGCAAATGGATGGGAAATAGACCTGTCTTTATTTTCAGCTACTTGTTTCCTAAATTGTGCATGTCCAATTATGAAGCTAGGCAAGAGATCACAGTAATATTAGTATTACATTGGTCCAGATTAGTATTACATTACATTGGCAATGTCACCAATAAAGATTTTCACCTCACATTACATTGTTCTACATTTCTCAAAGTATTGTTTATGCCAGTGATGGCGAACCTTTTGAGCTCGGCGTGTCAGCATTTTGAAAAACCCTAACTTAACTCTGGTGCCGTGTCACATATAGAAATTTTTTGATATTTGCAACCATAGTAAAACTAAGACTTATATTTTTGATATTTATTTTATATATTTAAATGCCACTTAACAAAGAAAAATCAACCCAAAAAATGAGTTGCGTGTCACTTCTGACACGCGTCATAGGTTCGCCATCACTGGTTATGCTCACTACTTTGAAACTGTGGTAGTTATTATGGCAATCACTAGATACTGTTATTTAATTTGTTAATATGTAAGTACATATGCTATGAAATAACAATATTTCAAAAATTAAGCCTTATTTCAGTATAATAAATGTTATAATCCTGTGCATTTAATTTTATGCATTTATTAAAAATAATATTATTAAAAATTATAAAAAAATAATATTATTATCTTAAGGGAGCCACAGGCTACCACTAGGTGCCAAAAGTTTGAGAATGACTGTTTTTAAAATACATTTAATTAATTTTTACAGAGAGGAAGGGAGAGGGATAGAGTTAGAAACATGGATGAGAGAAAAACATCCATCAGCTGCCTTATGCACGCCCCCTACTGGGGATGGAGCCGGCAACTAAGGTACATGCCCTTTGCCAGAACTGAACCCAGGACCCTTCACTCTGCAGGCCGACACTCTATGCACTGAGCCAAACTGGTGAGGGCAAGAATGACTATTTTTAAGTGGGATTCCATGGGGGAAGGGAAGGGATTGGGGTGCCATGATGGGTGTTTTCACATATGTTATAGACAGCAACACTATGGAGATTTCTGCGGTTGAGGCACTAGACACATGAAGAGCAAAAAGTGAAGCTGAGCCCTAGACGATCATGATTATTATTATTTTACCAAAAGTCCTTTGAAAACTCCAGAGGAAGAAAAACTACTGTCCCAAAAGGCACTGCAGTTGGATGACATCATCCCATCTTTGGAGTCTCCTGTACTGAGAGCTTGCTTGCATCTGGAGAAACTAAAAATTCTAGCCTGAAAACATTAGCCTTCCTTCTCTGATGGCAGTTAGAACCATGAGAGTGACAGTGGCCTTTCCAGTCAGCTGTGTGGCCCTTAGCTCACTTAGTGGCCAAGTAGCTGTGAACTGGAAACCTCATTGGGACTCCTTTTAAGTTGCCATGAGTTTATGGTAAGAACTGCTAACAGGTCAAACCAGCTCTTTTCTGACCGGGGGAACCTGAGTTCTAGAGATGACGCAAAGCTTGCTTAAAGTTACAAACACAGCTGCTAAGGACACAAAAGTATAAGAGAATTGCTCTCCTGGATCCCAGGTACTTGTTCCTGAAAATACATTCCTCTGAAGGAGACTAACTGTTATTACAACCTCTCAACCTATAGTCATTCTGGGCTATAGCACAGTTATGGTGGCTCTTCTCTCCAAGATCATGTTGATCTGTGCTTAGTCTGAAAATTCATATAGATTATTGACTCTCTTTGACCTCCTAAAATCACTGACATCCATTTTAGGAAGGCACCTACAAGATACCACTCTCAAGCCTGAGAAAACTGAAACCTAATTGTGAGGTTTAGAAAAATGGTGCAGCAGTATCCCGGAGAGATTCAATGTAATATTAAATGTCCTCACTGATAAGCATGAATACTCTTGGGATTGGACATGGAGGGCAACAAGTCCTGGAAGTAGCAGTTTCACTGCGGTTGTGCCCTTGGATGCTGGATCTGTTAAAGGGAATGAAAAATCTCCAGGGCTATGAACTCCCGGAGGACACAAATTGCTTTACTCTGCATTTCTCACAGCACAACCTAGTACGGTAGTACAGTTGAGATCCTTGTACATATGTGGACTGCACGCTCATCTACACGAACTGCTTGGGAGGGATAATCCGGTGAACTGAGCAATAACTTTGAGAGCTTCAGAAGAGAGGTGTTCTCTTGTCTTATTTTTTTAAGTATCACAGATTCTGCTATAGGCTGATTTTAAGTTGGGGATTGAGAAAGAGAGGTATAGAAGATAAAGCTGGCCACAAAGCTCCTTTACTTTGTCTATACTGCTTTAGTGTTCATAACAGGTTAGGATGATTGTCATTTTTGTGTAACTAAGGCTCAGAGGGGTTAGGGGCTTTATCTGAGCTCACACAGCTAGCAAGTGCCTGGAGCTCTCTTAGAGCCCTTGCTTACTCTCCCTCTCCCCACACTCCAGAATAACATTCCTCTCTCAACTCCCAGATATCGGACCCTGATGGGTCCCTGAGGGATTCCTGCCAGGGAGTTGCCATTCCTGAAACCCCTTTCCCCAACGAATTTTTCGTTCGGAGCGCGCGGGCCAGGAGCCAGGTGAGGCTAGAAGCTCCATTTCAGTTTTCTCTAGAATCCGTCACTGTGGTTACTCCCAATAGAATCTGTTTCAGGAAGAGGTTAGTCTGCGCGGGACAGCGTTGCCATTCATCACTGCGGGAGGGCAGAATCGGGGGCTAGGGGCCGCCCGACGAGAGGGGAGGGGCCAGGGGGCGGCCCCCTTGTGACCAGCCCTGAGGAGAGGTCAGGAGAGGAGGCTGGCTGAGGAGCGCCTGGACAGCAGCAGCTGCTGACGTTCTGAATCACGCGCCCTGGGGCCCAAGGTAACCCAGACCTTTAAACAAACAGCGGGGCTGGGGGCGCTGCGGGGCGGGGGCGGGAAGGGGCAGGGACTTTGAGGGCTGAGTACTGGAGATGGGGGTGGCCACGAACGCGTGGAGGGCGTGAGAAGGATTCCGGATTCTCAGAGGAATCCCTGGGAACTGAGGGTGCTGAAGCAAGAAGCGAGGTGTGAGAGCGCGAAGGAGCGTTGAGAGGGCGCAAGAGCGTGGCTGACCCTAAGACTGCGCCTGGAGGTGGGGGAGAAGGTGGAGCACAAGACAGCCCCAGAAGCATAGGTAAGGTGGGATCAGGGGGCCATTTTCTTCCCGAGCCCATTTTCCATAGGTGGCCCCTTTTCAGCCATTTTCAAGGTAAAATGTAGACACAAGTGTGTTTTAGGATCTAGGGAATGAACGTCAGAGGAAGCTGTACCAAAGTGAGGCTGCTCAAAGCGCAGTCCAGGCAGTCAGAGGGTGGCGCCTTTTTTTAAAGATTCCATCTCTTTCCACCCTAAAGCTCAGGCCGTACCCCCCCCCCCCAACTCAACCTTTCCCACCCTCCTTCTGCCTTCCCCCCACCCCCACCGCCACCCCAACCATCCCTCCTCAGCCCGGGCACCGTCCGATCGCCTTTGAAGCAGGTAACCGCCTCGGTGGCTCAGCACACTAGCTTGGGAACCTCTGAATAGAGGGGGTGGAGTCTGCAGCGGCCGCGGCTCCGCTCCGGGCCGGTGGGGGGGTCCCGGGGGCACTCATGGCCCGCCGCGGCCCGGAGCTGGCCCGATCGTTCTCAGCGATCGTCTCTGTCCTTCTCCAGCCGCAGCCCGATTCCGGACGCCTTTCTCCCCAGCCCGGCGCTGAGCTGATGGCCCAAGTTCGAGAAGCTTCCTTGCCCTCCGCCTCTTCGGTCCGCTGGAGCTCCGGAGGTAGGGGAGGAGCCTCACCCGTGGAGGCGGCCGTGAAGGCTGGGGAGATGGAGGAGGAGGAGGCGGCGGTGAGGGCGATGAAGGCGTGCGCAGGCCGGGAAGCTGCGGAGGTGAAGCTGCAGCCATTACCAGAGCGCCAGCCCGCGCCTGAGAACTTGCCTTGGCGGAGCAGCAGCCGCGGCGAGGAGACGGCGCTCCCTTCAGCCCCCCCGCGCTGGCTCAGCAGCTCCTCGCCCCTTAGCCCGCGCCGCAAGCCCCGCCTTCGGCCCCAGCCCTGGGCGCGCGCCCGAGGCCCGCCCGCGCTCCCGATCCCACCCCCGCCCCCGGTGCATCCTGCCCCGCAGCCTCCCAGACCCCGGCCCTGGCGCAGACCTAGCCGCAGATCCCGCCCGGCGGCGTCCAGGCCCCAGGTGCGGCAGAGCTGTCTCGGCGACTTAGGCAGCTCTGGGGATCGAGGTGGCTTTGGGGACTGGCTGCTGGAGGTGGAGTTTGATCAGGGTCCCACAGGCTGCTCTCACGTGGAGAGCTTTAAAGTAGCAAAGAACTGGCAGAAGAACCTCCGGTTGATCTACCAGCGTTTCGTGTGGAGTGGGACCCCAGAGACGAGGAAGCGTAAGGCAAAGTCGTGCATCTGTCATGTATGTAGCACCCATATGAACAGACTCCACTCTTGTCTCTCTTGTGTCTTTTTTGGGTGCTTTACTGAAAAACACATTCATAAACATGCAGAAACAAAAGAGCACAATTTAGCTGTCGACCTCTATCATGGGGTTATATACTGCTTTATGTGTAAGGACTATGTATATGACAAAGACATAGAACAGATTGCCAAAGAGACAAAAGAGAAACTTTTGAAGTTAATAACTTCCACCTCAACAGATGTTTCTCAGCAGCAGTGTGTGGAGTCAGGTGTTGAAGAGAAGCGATCAGGCTGTGAGTCAAAGGAACAGGAGCCAAAATTGGTGAAACCCAAGAAAAAGAGGAGAAAAAAGTCAGTCTATACTGTAGGCCTGAGAGGGCTAATCAATCTTGGGAACACCTGCTTTATGAATTGCATTGTCCAGGCACTTACCCATATTCCTCTACTGAAAGATTTCTTCCTCTCTGACAAGCACAAATGTATTATGACGAGCCCCAGCTTATGTCTTGTCTGTGAGATGTCTTCACTTTTTCACGCAATGTACTCTGGGAGCCGGACTCCTCACATTCCCTATAAGTTACTGCACCTGATATGGATTCATGCAGAACACTTAGCAGGGTACAGGCAGCAGGATGCCCATGAGTTCCTTATTGCGATATTAGATGTGCTGCATAGACACAGCAAAGATGATAGTGTTGGGCAAGAAGCCAATAACTTCAACTGCTGTAACTGCATTATAGACCAAATTTTTACAGGTGGCTTGCAGTCTGATGTCACATGTCAAACTTGCCATAGCGTCTCTACCACAATAGACCCGTGCTGGGACATCAGTTTGGACTTGCCTAGCTCTTGTGCTACATTCAATTCACAGAGTTCAGAGAGGGCTGACGGCGCAGTGAGTAGGAATGACCACATACCAGGCATCCCCTCACTCACAGACTGCCTACAGTGGTTTACAAGGCCAGAGCACTTAGGAAGCGGTGCCAAAATCAAATGTAGTAGTTGCCAAAGCTACCAGGAATCTACCAAACAGCTCACAATGAAGAAATTACCCATTGTGGCCTGTTTTCATCTGAAGCGGTTTGAACATTTAGGCAAACAGAGACGAAAGATTAATACTTTTATCTCCTTTCCCTTGGAGCTGGACATGACTCCATTTTTGGCCTCCACTAAAGAGAGCAGAATGAAAGATGGCCCACCACCACCAGACTGTGCGCCCAACGAGAATAAGTATTCCTTGTTTGCAGTGATTAATCACCATGGAACTTTGGAAAGTGGACACTACACCAGCTTCATCCGGCAACAAAAGGACCAGTGGTTCAGCTGTGATGATGCTGTCATCACCAAGGCTACCATTGAGGACTTACTCTACAGTGAAGGGTATTTACTGTTCTATCACAAACAGGGTCTAGAGAAAGACTAGTCTTATCAGGCCACTTACCAGAACAAAGTTAAAGAAATAGGCAAGGATCCTACCTGAAATGGAAGATGACAATGCCTATACAACAATAAGCACCTCTTGAAATATCACAAAAACCTCTTGGAAGGAACAGTGACAACAGCACCTATATGACAATTAGCACCTTGATGTAAAGAACGTATTTTACCACGGCCTGTGGGAAAAAATGAATACTAGCTGGTGACCATTCAGCCTTAAAGGGGAGGAGGGAGAAGTGGTGGAAAATGGTCACATAAAGCAGTTAAATGAAAAGAATGTTTTAGGTGGGGAGAGTGGGAATAGAAATGTTCTAGAACTACTATATGTCATTTATTTCTGTAAAATATACTGTGGGAAATCAGGGAGTATTCAGCAAAAAGCTTCACCATTGGTATTCCAGCTGTGGCTGACGAGATAGTTTTGGGGGAAAGGATATTTTAGAAGAGATTCTGAAAAGCTTTAAAAGAAAAACATTTTTTTATTTTAAAAGAAAAATGTTTTTAAATGTTGGAAGTTCTTAAGTTAGATGTTTTTAAATGTTTTAAAAACTAAAGTTTTTTATTTAAAACTTCAAAACTATTAAAATAAGGCTTAAAACATTTTCAAAGTTCTTAGTATAAAACAGGTAAAATGAATAAAACAAGGAAAAATATTAAAAATGGAAGTTTACCAAAAAAGTTAGTGAAAGAATCAGCTTTAAAATTAAAAAGTTAAAAAAGAACAAGACTTAATTTTTAAAAGAAATAAAATATTTTTTTTTAAATTGGAGCATAAAATATGTGTGTTAGAATCAAAGGCTAGCAAAATTCATGAAAATGCATTAAATAAATTTTCAAAAAGTGTAGGTTGAAATTTAAGTTTAGAGAAAAGTACAAAAGCAATGTTCAGAATTAGTCACGACAAAGATACAAAATTTTTAAATTGAAAAAAATCTAAAAAGGAAAATTAGAGAATAGAGATTTAAATGTATACAAAGAACTTTAGACAAGTTGAATTTAAAGAATTTAAAAACTATTTAATCAAGGGTAAAATTTTAAAACCTTTAAAAGTAGAATTTAAAGAAAAATTGAAAATGAAAAAATTAAATATGTTTAAATAGAAAAATCCTAAAATTAAAAGCTTAAAAGGTTGTGTTTTTTTTACAAAAATTTAAGCATATTAAAATACATACGGGTATGAAAGAAGTGGAGGAAACAGAAATAATTTGACAAAAAGGTTTGTAAATATATATTTTTTTTGAGTTTTATGTTACACAAATAGAATTTTGTAAAAAAAAAAAAAAATAGAGACTTTAATAATCATCATTTTACAATTCAGTTGTGAGATCACTGCAAGCCTCAACCCTAGCCCACCCTCTCTTTTCAGGTTCCATGTGCCATCTGATTTCCTGACGGAACTAGAGCTATTTCTTAGGCAGAATCAACAGCATCTGAAAAGATGAATATAGTAGGGACTCTCTCCCATTTAGAGCTGCATTCATACAAATTATTCCCTTCTGAAGGGGGCTTTTGACAATTTAGTGTCTTATGGATATTAGATCACAACTGTGAAGCTCTAGCCTTGATGTTTGAGACTGATGGCCATTGAGGGGTGACAGGGACCCATACCTTAGAACCTCCCACCTTCCTCTCTCCTTCCCTCTCCATGGAGAAACAAGACCTTTAAAATTCCACAGTAGAGCTAGGGTTTGTGCTTAACAGTTCTACTCATTCCTTACTCTCTTTTCCCTTCTTCCATCATTCATGCCTGGTTTCCTGAACCCCTCACTTACTTTACCTTACCTTCTACATCTCCGTGTCCCAGCCTGTAAGGGCTCCTTCCTTCACTGTTCACCTGGTGGCTTCTACTCCTTTGAGACTCATCAGTGACGTTTCTGGAGCCTTCCCTGAATGCTATAGGCAGGTATAAGTTGGAAAATTGTTTCTCCCTCACCTGTGTATCCCTTTCACAGTGCCTCCAAAGTACTTTGTCTGTACCTCAGTGATAGTACTTATTCTACTGTGATTCTACCGCAGCTTTGTGATTGTCTGCCCCTCTGCATCAAGCATTCTGAGAACAGGGGCCAAGCCTTATTCGTTTCTGTGTTAATAAATGGTTGTTGACTACGAAGATGAGTTCAGTTATTTGCTCTATTCGCCCTCTCAGTAATGTTTTCACCCATTCACGCATCAAGCCCTCATTAAGTGCTCAGTGCTATGAAAGTGGGATCGGTGTTGTATCTTACTCAAAGACAGTGTATCAAACGCTACTCAGCTTCAGGGGATGACTTAAGAAAGAAGATGCTCAGCAGGGAAATAGCCAGGCTGTGTGGAGGGAGTCTCGGGTACAATTCAAGGAAAAGAGCACAGATCTAAGAATTGGTGGTTATGAGATATTGGGAGGCAAGGGGGAGCAGCAACTAAAACACAGAGCTGGGCTCTCTGGTGTGTGTGTGTGTGTGTGTGTGTGTGTGTGTGTGTGTGTGTGTGTGAACAGTGTCTCTTACAACAGTGTATCACACCTCTCCATGGTGTATCACATTAGTTTACCTTCCCAGAAGACAGTGTACATCACCATTTCATAGTGTTTTATAGTACATGTTTTATAGTATCATGACTATGCAACAGAGGAGTGATGAGTGGTGGCTGTGTTTCGTGGAGAGCTATAGTTTGTCTGCTTAGCACTCTAGCCCTTTTCCTATTCTTTGTGGTTCCAGCTGGGCCATCAGTCACTTTGCCTTGCTCCTCACAGGCCTCCCCAGAGTTGGGCATATCACTCATGCTAGGCGAGATTAGAGTTCTCAATTCCCCCACTCCACCACCCACACACCTCCAACAAGAGTGATTCTTCTGAGGATGGCCATAGGACCCAACAGGATCCTGTGCAATCAGAGTCCATTGCTAAATTGAGTATATCTAGACACTGGGAGAAAGAAGTGCCTTGCTCCCTACCTTTGCTCCCCACTCCACAACCTATGCTGGAGTCTCTAGGCTAGGATGGCATGAATCTGGGACTTTGATAGGGCGATACCATACTATGAGGAGAAAAATAGAATCACATCCTAATTGATCTGTTTTCAGAATGGTCTACTTAAAAGGAGATACACTTTTATTCTATTTGCAAGCTTATCTTTTAAAGCTCCTTGCCACACCTCTGATAGAAAATTAAACTGACTGGCCTGCAATTTCTACTTCTCTGTGATGGGGGAGGTGTGGTGAGGCAGGCCCAGACAAGAGGAGATGATGACTTTGGAGCACCAGGCAGACTTGAACTGAAATCACATCCCAGACCCACCACTTACTAACAGGTGACATTGGACCAGTCACAAAACCTTGTGCACAGGCCTCCCAGGGCTGTTGGGAGGTCTAAATGCAAAAGTGTTTGCAAGGCATTTAGTACAGAGCAGGGCATATGGTTGGAACTAAAGAGGTCATCTGTTTCTCCCCGCTTTTCAGTGTCTAAACATTCCCTTTGTTCCCCAGGTATCCTTAGGATATGATAACTGTTAGATCTCTGGAAACCCATTTTCCTACAGACCACAAGGGCATCACCCAAGTAGATATCTTTCTATAAATCCTCCTCAGTCAGGTTCCTCCTTACCTCACCGAGTTTTTCTCCTCCTGTGCTATAGGCACCTCATTGGGGTCTGTCTTAATATTGGCTCTACTTGACAAACAAGGGATATGAGCCACAGAGAATTCAAATGTATTTTCTCAAGTCACACAGTAATTAAGATAGAACTGTGGCATAAAGTACTAGCCCAGGTCCCTAACCACCAGGTTTGACTGCAACCCAAGAACTCATTTGATTCCTCTGATTTTACTGGAATAATATCCAGGTAATGCTCACCTCTGAGTCCACCAAATTTATGGACTTATAGAATCTGAGAATTGGGCAAATCCCTACAGAGCCTTTCTCCTTCAGATTTTTCACTGCTTTAAGGATACAATGGCCCACGGAGAGATGAAATTATGTGCTCAAGGTCACACGGGGATCAGTGGCAGAGCCAGGAGCACAACACAGGTCCTGGGATTCTCTTATTCCATGCCAAACCTTCTTACTGCCAAGTTTGTCTGTAAATATTTTATCTCCATTGCCTGTCGTATCTCAGAATCTGTATCCTTCTAGGCTGGGTCTGGATTCCCAAGGACAACAAAGCCCAGAGACAATAGTAAGTACATGGCTCTGACTGTTGCCAACAGAATTCTTTACAGAGATAAAGATGTAATAAGGGCACTGGAAGCACACTGATACTTCTGGTCTCCGGGCAGCAGCAGGCAACAGAGAAGTTATGGCCGGGCCTGACAATAAGTGAAGCTCTATGATTGGACAGGATGATGGAAAGGTGATTGAGGAATTCTCGACAGTGGCCCTTTTTAGGACATAGGAAATCTGATCTTTTACCAACTTTTGTTAACACTGGGTCTTGGTTCTTCCTCCATAATGAGATGCAGCTTTGGGGGGCAGATGTTTTTCTTATAGGGCTCTTGTATGCTAGTCATATGGGGACACCTTCCAGCTCATCCCCACACTGAGCGTCCAGGCCTTGAAATAATTATATTTAGCCCCAAGCCTGGATAATTATATTTAGCCCCACCATGGTGAAGAATTGCATCAGTGCCTGGTTCAAACAAGAAGCTTCTTTGTAGAAAAGGTTTGTTTGGCTGGAAAAAACTGAGGACAAAAGTCTCTGAAATGGAGTCAAGGGTCTCATCTGTATGTTTACCTGTCTCCCCATTACCGGGGCATCTTGGTCCTCATAATATAGGGCATATTACAACTGCCTGGGAGTACAGAGACAGGTGTTCTTGTGCACGTTATACATCATCTTCGACTCATTTGGCCCAAGTAAGAAAAGAGGTGCTTTGTTTTGATTGTCCCCAAAGGATTTTGCAAGCTTTAAAACTGTATGAACTATTAGCAGTTCTTACCTATAAACTCATGGCAACTTAGCAAGAACCTTAGAAAGCAAGAAAAGAAAATACAGCATGTTGATCATAGTTTAAAATATCAAGTTGTCTTCTATTTTAATGTGCTGCACAAGGTTTCTGACCTTGATCATTTCAACCAGTTACTGTATAATAGATAATTGTTATGTCCTACTTTTTGTCATTGTAATCAATGCTGCAAAGAATACCCTTGCATATATTATTTCACACATCTATGTATTTATCAAATACCTGGAAATTTATTCAGAAGCTGTTCCCTGTGTGTCTACTGAGTGCCAGGCTGAGACAAACCTACTCCCTGCCACCAAGGAGCTCACACTTCAGCAGGGGAGATAGATATATCACCAGACAGTGAAGGCCAGGAAAGGAGAAGGCTAGTGTGGGGGAAGATGGGGTAGAGCAGGGAACAGACATTAATCACAAGAATTAGAGTGAGGCTGAATAAATAATCTCTAATGTGAGGTCAAGGACCTGTTCTTTCTGAGTCATCTTTACTCCTTGGTGCCTGGTCCCTGGCACGGGGTTTACCATAACAGGAGGCTCAGTGACAATTGACGAAAGGAGTGACTAGTCCTTCAGTTTCAACACTGAGATTAGATGTTGATCCCAACATCTCTCCTGATTT